TTGTTTGTTTGTTTGTTTGTTTGTTTGTTTGTTTGTTTGTTTGTTTGTTTGTTTGTTTGTTTGTTTGTTTGTTTGTTTGTTTGTTTTTGTTTGTTTGTTTGTTTGTTTGTTTGTTTGTTTGTTTGTTTGTTTGTTTGTTTGTTTGTTTGTGTGTGTGTGTGTGTTTGTTTGTGTGTTTGTGTGTGCGTTTGTTTGTGCGCTTGTTTGTGCGGTTGTTTGTGCGAAAGATTGTGCGAAAGTTTGTGCGTTTGTTTTGTGGTTGTTTGCTTGTTTATTGTTTGTTTGTTTGTTTGGTTGTTTGGTTGTTTGGTTGTTTGGTTGTTTGGTTGGTTGGTTAGTTGGTTGTGCCTGCGTGCTTGCGTGCTTGTGTGCTTGCGTGCTTGCGTGCTTGCGTGCTTGCGCGCTTGCGAGCTTGCGTGCTTGCTTGCTTGCTTGCTTGTTTGCTTGCTTGCTTGCTTGCTTGCTTTCTTGCTTGCTTGCTTGTTTGTTTGTTTGTTTGTTTGTCTGTGTGTGTTTGTACTTTGTGCTTGCGGTTGTGTGTGTGCGAGAACACCACCTTGGTTTCACGAAAAAACGAAGGGCAACCACGAATTCTGTGTCTCGCAGATTTTGGGTTAAAGGGGAACACCGGTACCCGCTCACAAAAACAGGAAACCAGGGAAACTCCACCGGTGGCTGGCAAAATTCAAAATTGGACCAAGGTTGAAAGATGGAAACGCGACTCATCGCAAGAAGGCAGGAAAATGCCGCCCTGCCTCGGAAACCAAGGCAAAGAAACACAAATCAAGAGCAGCCGCAACCGACAAGAGAAGTCAGAACACATATTCCCGTCACAGGTGACATGACGGGGAAGTAGCCATACAGACTCAGAAATCCGCGGCTGCACGACGAGTTGCGGCGCAATGCCGTTGGCAAATTCATGGGCGAGCAGCGCCACGTGCTCTGATCTCCTTTTGGGCTTTCGCCCGTTTCGCAGGCCCAGGTGAGCCCACGAGTAGACCGCGCTGACCTGCCGAGCACGAGCTCTTGGTTGGCAGTGAACCAACACACAGATACCTGACCCACACTCGTGCGATTGACGTTCGTTCGTGTCCATAAAGCCTCCGCAAAGCGTGCGCAAAGGCGTCTTCAGACAAAGCGTCCGCGATGGGGAAGCGGCAAAGTAGCGCTTGGAATCTGTGGGTGAGCCGTAGCTTTTACACCCCAACAAAATCTTGCGGGCTGCAAATCGATGTGAAGAAACAAGTGGCCGGCGTTTGCCACACCCATTTATGGCAAGGGGACTGCGCCCTCGAATTCTCAAGGTTCAGCTAGGTGTCACATTAGGTTTCCGTCATTTCAGGCCACGATCGAAACTGGCAAATGCATCTGACAAAAACCTCGAAAGTCGCATGGGAACATTGCCCCATCCGCAGGCAATCCACACAAAACCACGCCAGGTTCATGGACTCCACCCCAGGTTCGTGGGCTCCACCCCAGGTTCATGGACTCCACCCCAGGTTCATGGACTCGCCCCACCCCTCTCCCCCACCAGCCCACCAGCACGGGCATGGGCATGGCTCGCGCGTCCACTGCTGCCAGGTGCAGCAACCGCAGCGCCGCCGAGGCGGCGAGGCCCTTGGCGACCAGACGAGGCAAAGCCGCCCCGGGGGCGAATGCCTCCTGGCCAGTGAGTGGCGCGCCCGGATCCCACCCCGGATCCCCCCCCCTTTCTGTGGAGGACACATAGAGCCTATGTTGCACCCTTCTTGCTTGGGGCATGTGGGTTGGATCCGCAAAATGGCCTCTGGAGAATTAATTCGGGGCACCGAAAAAGAAAAGAAAAAACGCGAGGCTTCGCCCAGCCCAGCCCTCCGGCGCGCACCTTCGCCAAGGCCTGCACCTCCTTCAGGGCCGCGAGGTCTGCGGAGCAGGTGCAGGCCAGACGTGTCCAGCAGCACATGGACAGCGAGGGCCTCGGAGCGGCGTGCCCAGCCGCCTTGCGGCGGTTAAGTTTCTCGCAGCGCCCTTGCCCCAATTCGCCTCCAAGTGTTTCTGCATGTGTGCGTGCATGCATTCGCGCCGAAGGAGCAGTGGCTCCTGAAAGGACGACAAAACTTTTAGTGGGTTAAATGGAAACTACCACGAAACACTAAAAAAGCTAAAAGGCTAAGGGGATGGCTGGGAGCCACCAAGATTCTGGGGTTGTCCCGGTGTTCCACGTCAAACTTTTTACATGGGTTTTGGGGTTCCATGTCAAACTGTATATCATGATCCCGCATAGGTCAACCCCAGCTTATTATTACTGGGGTGGTTTTGCCCCCTCCAAAAGTGACGATTTCCCACGAAACCCCAAAAACGCCCACGTATTGATAAACTGGGGTTGGTTATTATGGGGGTCAACATTAAGACTCAGGCTTACCCTTCGGAAAGGGAAACAAAAAGCCAACCAACTGGGCATTGTAGAACAAACTCTCCCACACCTGGGTAGGCAGCAAAAAACATTCTCTTTCAACAGCCCCCTAAGAATGCACAGAACGAAAGAACAAGACAAACAATGAAAAGCATGCGAAAAGGGTAAATAGTAAGTCCCTCCTGGCGCTCCATTCTCCGTGGCACATACCTCTTTTTTTAGTCAGCGGTGGGCACCCTGGAAGCAACGAGCATAATACTCGCCTGTGGGAAAACATGTGACTCTCCCCAGGTCCGTCCCAATGAACCAAGGACGGTCTGGAAACTTTGTTGTTCAAGATGGGGCTCTCATTCACCCTTGTTGCGCTCCTGTTTTGCTCTTTATCTAGTGGCTTACCTTCAGGGGTATGGTCCAGGGGTCTGGTGGTGACACCTTTCAAAGGGTGCAAAAGCGCCACTGGGACACCACCAAAACACCACCATACAAATAATTTGAACCCAGCCTTTGCCGGGGTCCTCATCCCCAAATCTAGAGGTCCGCAGTAGGCCTGCAAAAGGGAAATTGAATCGCGGCTTCCCCCCATGCCCCTTTTTGAGGGCAGGGATTGCGGCACGCTCCCGCGCTTGAGAGGTTTGTCGCCAGGCTGTCTCTTGCGTGACTTCATGTCGAACCCCCCGGCTTCGGCCATTTACCCGCCCGAAAGGAAGATGAAGCTGTGGCGAACGGTGGCCATGGGTCAAAAATAGGTACCCAAAAATGGAACCTGGCAAATGTCACCAAGGAGTAAAACCTGCGGTCCCCTTGTGGTGTAAGTTTGACCCATACCCATGTAAAACAAGCCCTTTTTGCTCGGTTGCTTTCTGCTCCCCTGCTAAAAGTGAATAACTTTTAGTGGTTTAACACGGAAAACCCACTAGTTGGCAAAAAGTTATTCAGTCCTAACATCCCTTGGCACAAGTTAAAGTCCTAACATGCCTTGGCAAAAGTTATTCAGTCCTAACACCCCTTGGCAAAAGTTAAAGTCCTAACATCCCTTGGCAAAAGTTAAAGTCCTAACATCCCTTGGCAAAAGTTAAAGTCCTAACATCCCTTGGCAAAAGTTAAAGTCCTAACATCCCTTGGCAAAAGTTAAGTCCTAACATCCCTTGGCAAAAGTTATTCAGTCCTAACATCCCTTGGCAAAAGTTATTCAGTCCTAACATCCCTTGGCAAAAGTTATTCAGTCCTAACATCCCTTGGCAAAAGTTAAAGTCCTAACATCCCTTGGCAAGTTAAAGTCCTAACATCCCTTGGCAAAAGTTAAAGTCCTAATCCCTTGGCATCCCTTAAAGTCCTAACACAAAAGTTAAAGTCTAACATCCCTTAAAGTGACCTAACATCCCTTGGCAAAAGTTAAAGTCCTAACATCCCTTGGCAAAAGTTAAAGTCCTAACATCCCTTGGCAAAAGTTAAAGTCCTAACATCCCTTGGCAAAAGTTAAAGTCCTAACATCCCTTGGCAAAAAACAGTCCTACATTGGCAGTTCCTAACATCCCTTGGCAAAAGTTAAGCCCTAACATCCCTTGGCAAAAGTTATTCAGTCCTAACATCCCTTGGCAAAAGTTAAAGTCCTAACATCCCTTGGCAAAAGTTAAAGTCCTAACATCCCTTGGCAAAAGTTAAAGCCCTAACATCCCTTGGCAAAAGTTAAAGCCCTAACATCCCTTGGCAAAAGTTAAAGTCCTAACATCCCTTGGCAAAAGTTAAAGTCCTAACATCCCTTGGCAAAAGTTAAAGTCCTAACATCCCTTGGCAAAAGTTAAAGTCCTAACATCCCTTGGCAAAAGTTAATCAGTCCTAACACCCCTTGGCAAAAGTTAAAGTCCTAACATCCCTTGGCAAAAGTTAAAGTCCTAACATCCCTTGGCAAAAGTTAAAGTCCTAACATCCCTTGGCGAAAGTTAAAGTCCTAACATCCCTTGGCGAAAGTTAAAGTCCTAACATCCCTTGGCAAAAGTTAAAGTCCTAACATCCCTTGGCAAAAGTTAAAGTCCTAACATCCCTTGGCAAAAGTTAAGGTCCTAACATCCCTTGGCAAAAGTTAAAGTCCTAACATCCCTTGGCAAAAGTTAAAGTGGCCTAACATGCCTTGGCAAAAGTTAAAGTCCTAACATGCCTTGGCAAAAGTTAAAGTCCTAACATCCCTTGGCAAAAGTTAAAGTCCTAACATCCCTTGGCAAAAGTTAAAGTCCTAACATCCCTTGGCAAAAGTTGAAGTCCTAACATCCCTTGGCCAAAGTTAAAGTCCTAACATCCCTTGGCAAAAGTTAAAGTCCTAACATCCCTTGGCAAAAGTTAAAGTCCTAACATCCCTTGGCAAAAGTTAAAGCCCTAACATCCCTTGGCAAAAGTTAAAGTCCTAACATCCCTTGGCAAAAGTTAAAGTCCTAACATCCCTTGGCAAAAGTTAAAGTCCTAACATCCCTTGGCAAAAGTTAAAGCCCTAACATCCCTTGGCAAAAGTTAAAGCCCTAACATCCATTAGCAAAATGCACCAAGGAAAAGTAACCCCAAAGTTGTCCTCGGCCCTCGCCTCCCACCTCCCACGCCCCGCCCGCCAGCAGCAGCTCTGGGGCCCCGGCAGCAGAAACAGCGACGCATCGAGGCCGAGAAGCTTGGAGGTGACGCCCATGGTGCGCGAGGGAAAAGGAGCCCCGAAAAAGGAACAACCCAAGGATGCATCCAATAACACTCAAAATAAAAATAACAATAATAATCATAATAATAATAATAATAATAATAGTGTTTTTTGTTGAGATTTGTTTGCCTTTTTTCTTTGGGGGGGGAGGGGGGAAGGGAAGGGCTAGCCTCTCCTCCTTACCAAGGAGCAATCCTCAACAGCCTGATCCCCGCTCAGATGACAACGGCTCGCACCCAACTCGACTTTGGCGCTTGCGAGCAGCATCGTAGCTAGCTGCCTCTTGAGTAGGGCCGGATTCAATCCCAATCCAGGGTGGAGATTTAACTCAAGCAGGTGTGGTTGTTGATTCAGGGTTGTTTGTTGCTTTCTTTCAGTGGATGTCTAGAAGGAAAAGAACACCCCTCACGTAATGAAGTGAGCAGATTCTTGGCTGGAAAACTGGAGGTCTCGAGATCTCCCTCCAAAGAGAACCCTAGAAGGAAGTCAATCAACACGACCCCGGAGTGGTGTCTCCCTACCGAGCCCGGCACGCAGCGTCCAGTGGCTTGTCCTTCCAGCAAAGAGCCTGCCTGAGCGCGCGACAGCTCGCGACATGGCTTTTTCTGGCTCAAAAAACCCCCAAGTACCAAGCCCAACCAACAAGTCCACGATTCCCAAGAAAAAGTGCTTGTGAATCCGCTCCCTATGGCTCACAACACTTTTCTTCTCTGCGCTTTCGTGCCGACAGGGCGCTCCAGACCCACCACGGCCTTGGCGGCCTGGCACGTGCCGCGAGCCAGCCGCACCACGTGCCGCGCCAAGGAAGGAACCCCACTGTGTGGGGGTGGGTGGGGGGGGGTGATGGTTGGGGTGATGGTGGGGGGGGGGGGGGGGTGGTGGGGGTTGGGGGGGGGGGCAACCTCTGCTGTGCATGGTTGCAAACTCCATTTCGCACCACCTAACTAATAAACCCTGGAACTGATTCGATGCAACGAAAATGAAAAAGCTGAGAAAAAAATATTCGGAAAGGGGACCAATAGAACGGCCGCACGCACTTGGCCTTCAATCGGTGAACCCTCGGACTTTGAGGGGTCGACCTTCGCTTGGCTTCGCTGGGTCCGGACTTTCGATGGATCGAGCCAAAAGCTTGTGGCTTGCTTTCCGTCTTTCAGGGCTCGGAACGGGCTTGGAACGCGTTCGGAAACGCGTCGCTCGCGCAACCCTCTGGTCAACCCAATCTTGAAAACTTGTGGTTTTCTGAGAGACAGAGACAGAGACAGAGACAGAGACAAAGACAGAGACAGAGACAGAGACAGAGACAGAGACAGAGACAGAGACAGAGACAGAGACAGAGACAGAGACAGAGACGAGACAGAGACGGAGACGGAGACGGAGACGGAGAGGGAGAGAGAGAGAGAGGGAGGGAGGGAGGGAGGGAGGGAGGGAGGGAGGGCGAGAGAGAGAGAGAGAAAGAGAAACAGAAGGAGAACGAAAAAAGAAAGAGAAGAGACATATACAAAACTGAGAAAGAGAAAGAACAAAATTATGATATTGTGTTTAAAAACAATGAAAAGGAATGAGAAAGAGAAACAGAAAGAGAAAGAGAAAGAGAAAGAGGAAGAGGAAGAAAAAGAGAAAGAGGAAGAAAAAAGAACTGAAAACAAATGAAAAGAGAACAGAAACAGAAAGAGTAAGAGGAAGAGAAAGAGGACGAGGAAGGGGAGAAAGACCAAGAGACAGAGAAAGGCAAAGAGGAGGAGTAAGGAGACAAAGAGAAAAAGAAAACAAAACAGAAGGAGAAAGAGAGAATAAGAAAGAGAATAAAAGAGAAAGGGAAAATGGAAAGGGAACGAGAGAAGGAAGAGTGAAAAGACGCGTTCTCCAACTATACGTCTTATATTTTTGATTTCCGGTGCCGGACTTTACTGGCAGGGAGGCCCCCAAACAACACTACAGTATTGTTGGTGGACGAAATCCTGCACCACTTTGAAATCATGGTTGAAACCATGGTTTGTTGGTATTTATAGGGGAATCATCATTTCCAGAGTTTCTTAGGCTGGATTTCGTTCATTCACAGTATGCCTGGTGACTAATCCCTTCCCCCTAAGAACAAAACGCGCCCGTTTTTCCAAAAAAAAACACTAAAAACTGCCAGCAACACAATGGTGTTTATTGGGGAGACCTTCATTAGGGGGAACAGATTCGGGAGCATGGACAATGCCTTCGCCATCGGCCTCTTCGCTCTGAAACTCCACTTCGGCACTGCCCATGAAGATCTTCCCATCTGGCACGAGCCGTGCACCTTTCTCTGGGCTGTCCATTTTCAGAGCCCCTGCTAAGGGTTTGACTCTTCGGCCAAATGGAAATCCAACCACTCAACCCATGGGTGTCCTTTTTGGAAAATAGAGAGCCCTGGTAGATGATTGAACGAACCACCAGGTAAACCAGTTTTAATAGAAAACAACCAAAAAGCACACCTATGACTCGACCACTTTGCGGTCCCATCGAAATCGCGCAATGCAGCCGGTTGGTCAAGCCAGTCGGCCACAACCGAAAAAACTGAGGCGCAGGCCATCTGAAGGGCCCTCTCGCAGCCTGAGCACAAAGGACCCCAGATTGATCAACGTGGCTGTGGGTCAAAAATGCGGTAACACCAAAATGGCTTGCCCTGATAAATCGAACCAAAGACTAAAACCTGCGGTCCAATTCCTGGGTGGGTGCATTTTGACCCGTACCCACGTGGATTCAGACAGAGGGGATCATCCAAACAAATCCAGATTCCAGCTTGGAATTCTATGACTCAACCGGCTTGCTACAGCCGCGCGTCGGGTGCCTTTCTGGACGCCATGCCCGGCGTTGGCTGCTCTGGGCGCGCGGCAGACGCACAAAGTCCACCTTCCCGAAAGGTTCGCAGAGTTTGGAGACTTCCTCGATGGTCACCAACTCATCACCTGACATCTTGGTCATGGCTCCCCTTTTGTGACCATGTAGGAAGGCCAGACGAGCAACATGGACTTCGAGCATGCCACAAATGCCTTCAATAAAAAGCCGTCAGAAGCCGGGCGACGCGGACCAGTTGCGGGAGGAAATGAATTTGGCAATGAGCGTCCTATCAGCTCGCGAGAATGGTTTCCAAGGTCATTATTTTACCATGATCAAAGTCACCACCAAGTGGTGGGTTAAAGGGAAACAACCGATTCCATTTTCTGACTTTGATTACCCCCAGTAACTGTCAAAATAATGACCCCAGAAAATATGTGTGCTGAGTCCATTTGGCAAAACAAAGTTTCCGTAAATGTGATGCTTGAACCGGGACATGTATTGATTATTATTAAACCACAACCCTGTCCAGTTTAGACCTCTGGGGTCACCCAACCTTCAACATCGCAATCGGGGAAAAACCCCCCGATGCGCCTTTTGGAAAGCCGCTCAGCTGCACGCTGCGCTTCTCCTCAGTTCGGCCCAGCTGGGTTGTTCAGACCGCGCTCCCCTGTCGTTTAGGGTAGGCCCGTTGGGCCCAAAGAGGCTGCTGATCAATCAGGTGTCCCTGCTTCCCATCCTTCAGGGTGAATTGCGGGGAACAGTCCACGTCAAGCCAGGCTTGACGAATCCGCGGGCAAAGTTCGGTCAAGCTCAGCCTCTGGGCGGCGGGCCAAGTCACTGCCAGCTCCGCCAAACGACCTGGATACAAAAGCGTTCGTGCTTTTGCTCATCCAAGAGAACAAAGGGCGCACTATGCACGGCGCACTCACGCCCACGAGAAGCGCCACAATTCCATTGAAGTTTGGTGAAGTTCCCTAACAAACGTTGTGTTTATGGTTTGTTCTTTCCGTTGGGCTTATGGTGGGTTTAGGATGAGGATTCGCAGAATAAGCCCCTGCTCTACCCAGCCTTCGCTGCCCTGCCCTCCCCGCCGGCCTTTCCCTTCCCTTCCCTTCCCGTCCCTTCCCTTCCTTCTTCGCAGTTGCTTTGGGAATTGAAACAAGTTGGCAATAAGTGTTTTATTGATGCCTAGTAGGTTGAGCTATCAGAAAATCACTTGTTCCTGGGCTGATTGGTGCGAGTCTTCTCGAACTTGTGAGCCCCTGGCTTCTTTCGCTGGCTCAAGCTCGGGATTTCCCATAAATTCGCAGGGCAATGGAAGTTAATGTTGACCCAGGATTGACAGACCCGTCCCATTAGGGGGGTGTTCCCTCCAAGAGTGATGAATCCCCACTAAAACGGGACACCCCCCAATCAAAATCAACCAGGGGCGTGGTCAACATTACCACAGTTCCGGAGTGAAGTGGACTCGGCTCCAGCGGCCAGAAGTTTCAAACCTGTGGATGGACGAAATCCATTTCGCACCAATTTGAAGCCATGGTTGAAACCATGTTTCTTTGTACCGCATTCTCTGAGGGCCATGCTTGTCCTGCGAACGAGACCCCCACCCCTGTTCAACCATTTGTTTGTTGGTATTTTTTAGAGGAATCCTCATTTCCGGAGTTTCTTAGGTAGGATTTCGTTCATCCACAGTATGTCTGGTAACAAGGGAGTAATGTTGACCCAGGATTAAGAAACCCCCATTATTAAGGGGGTGTTCGCTCCACAGGTGATGAATCCCCACCGAAAGGGGTGCAGGATTTCGTTCACCCAAACCTATCCAGCCAAGGCGCAGCGATGGCGGCTCCGCCCCGCCGGCCCGGCGGATGGCGTCCTTCTCCTCCTAGGGCTGTCGAGGAAGGTGGGGCAACGGATCGGGCGCCATGCTGGCTGTGGTTGTCAAAAATAGGGTAACCCCAAAATGGGGTGCACTGCTAAGTGGCAACATGGACCAAAACCTGTGGTCCAATTCCTGGTGGTACTTGTCCCAACCCAAAGACATGGGTCACACCCAAAGTCAAATGGCACGTGGAATGGTGTAGGTGCTGGTCTGTGTGTGCGTGTGTGTGTTTGCTTTTGAGGCTTCCCTTTTCCGCTTGCTTTAAACAGCCTGACCTTTTTGCAAAACCCCGCGACCGTGGCCCTTTCGCGAACCTTGACTGAGCCCCTCGGATGTTCGGGGTCCAAATCCCTTGATTCACATACCCACATCGCCCCACTCAAAGGCAAGGAAGATGAGCCCAAGCGCTTGAATCCAATAGAAGCGAGGGAATCATGACAGAATCTGGAATCATGACAGAATCTGAGTTCGTGTTTTTTCTTGGCCCCGCAGAAAGCAAACAAAGAGCTTGGGCATGCGCCCCTTGCTCTTGTTGTTCGAAACCTCGGATTCAAAAAGGGAACCCTCTCTAGACAGACTCTTTTATGGAGTTGCTAAGGAGGGGGTGGGTGCAAGAGGGGCGGGCTGTTTTGACCTCCAAAAGGATGGGGACATTTTATGGTTTTCAGCCAGTTTGTCAGCATTCCTGCGAAGATACATCCAAAACCCACCAGCTTGTTACATCGACCGGCAAAGGTGAGTCGCTAACTGCCCAACATGTGCAAATGTGTGAAAACAGTGGTTCTCCATTCACTTGTGTTGGTTTCCCTCACCAAGCTGGTTTTTTCGGGTAGCCCAACCCACACCCAGGCTGGGGATATGTATATATATATATATACATATATGGATCGCCCCCCGACCAAAACAAAGCGGTCTACCGGGAATTCTTCCCTTGCCGCCGAAAGATCTCGGCCGAGGCTTTCGAGGCAGCTGCCGAAAGCTCCATGTTGAACTTGGGGTCTGCGGCCTGGCTATGAGCTTCGACCCTGCGGGGTCTAAGTGTCTTGACTTCGAGAGTACCTGACTGAGGTAGCTTCCAGTGGGTTCATGAGTTCCGGTGGTCTGCTTCTAAGACTATGTCCTATGGTTTCGGTGGCTTGGCGAATTCTCATGCTTGCAGGATCCCATAAACTAGCCGCCGAAACCGTAGGAAGCCATAGACATGTTGGTGGCTATATACCAGTAGTGTCCATCTCGCGCCTGAACTGCTGCAGCGAGCTCCCCTTCCGTGACACCTACCGCCCCGGTCCAGTTGCAGAGCCGCGTCGCGCCGGACGCCCGGTGTTTTTCGTTGGTTGGGGGGGTGGGGGGGGGGGGGTCCTGGATAAGCCACGGACAAGCCCATGCATAAGCCATGATAAGCCATCCATAAGCCCAGAAGCCGGAGGAAAAATTGAGACGGCTCGGCCAACGCCAAAAGAGCGCAAGGCCACGCACCCAACAGCCCCCTAGGTCCCCCGCAGCCCATGAGCTTCAAGCGGTTGAACGGCAGAATGACCTTAGCCCCACGGCCATTGGGCCATGGTTGGTGCCGGATGTAGGCTTGGCAGTGCTCCATATTTGTAAACAGGGGTTTATTAATCCGGGGTCAACAGTAGCCCCTTCATCTTGGCAGCTGCCTTTGATACGTTAAGTTCCAGGCTGAGAGTGGCACAAAGCCTTGCTCCGATGCAACCTGATTCTCCGACAAGTCGAATGCTGACACGTGCCCCCCCCAGCACAACATTACGTAGGGACAAACTGACAAGCCACGCTGATTTTTTCTTTAGCATGGAAGGATTGGCCCAGGATCGCTTGAATTTACAAGGGGCCCTTCACTTTTGGATTCAACATGCCCCCAGTCCAGCATCTAAACCTTGGGCGCCAGCGATCTTCTCTCGCAGGAAGCGGTCTCTGCGAAGGTTCGCATCCTAGCTCATGGGATCTTCTCTCGGCACAAACTGAAGCAGAGACGACGTCGGTCAAATGACTACCGCATGCCGCAAAACGGGTCTTGGTGCTGCATCGACTTTTTTTTGAGCTGCGGACTGAGAAGTAGAACGCGAGCTGTCGGATAAGCGATGCCTGCCGCCTGGACGACAAGTAACAAAAACCCGTGTCCAGTACTGCACACGCAGACTTTGAGCACCCGACGCTTCTCTGTCTGACACCAACTTCTCAACAGCCCGGACAGCCTCCAGGGCTCAAATCCCACGCCTCACCTTCCAACTAATCCAAGGGGTTTCTATCACATCCAGGGAGTGCAGCTGGGGAATTCCCATCCCTGACGGCGATCGGGGGGTACACACTGACCCTTAGCTTCAACATGAGGCACGCCTCCTCCAATTGCTCCTCATCATCCAGCGTGTTCCTTGCAAGCAACTTTTTGGTGACCATGGCACAGTTGCAAATGGACGTCTCTTCAAACAGGGAAACCCAAAAAAAAGGTTCGCTGCCCTTTGGAATGGACAAGGCCACACCAAAATCGACCAACTATTGCGCCAAACAGCTTGCACACGCTCTCTGAGCTTGCAGCAGTGTCCTCTGCAGCCTGAGTCGAACGGAAGGTCTGGGCTCCCAGTTCCCCCTCAAGTGACGGAAGAATCGAGGGTTCCATGCCAGCGCCACCGATCCAGCAGCTTCTGGCGGGATGACTTGCCATCCTGGAGGAAGCAGAAACTCCGAGTTCGGCAGGCACTCTGAAAGCAACCCTCCTCCTCGGCGGCCATAGCAAGCTTGGTTGACGTTGGAAGGGGAGCAAAACTTTAAATTTTAGCAGTTGAGTGGGGACTTCCCACTAAACCACAATAAGCAAAAATGTAAATGTTTCCAAACAACAACCATGCAAGGATGCCAACGCCCTTCTTAATCAAGTCTGCTTGAAGGCGATTTTACCATGCCAGGTTGTCACATGTTGTCACAGAAGCCACATGTGCCTTGAGCAATCGGCAACCTACAGCTGAGCCACATCAGTCATTCGCAGAGCCACTGCACTAAACCATCAAAACGTCCCGGCCTTTCCAAGACTTGCCGCACTCATTTTTCCGGCACGGTCTTGCGCTGAAAGTTGTGCACAAAGATACATGGATACGTTGTTGTCTTCTGCAGCGCTGCGGGCCTAGGGTGAAACGCGCGCAGCCGCCGGGGCCCTGAGGCGGCGACACGCCAAGGCGCGCTGCGGCGCTCAGCTACGAAGAGGGAGAAGGCTAGGCCCGGAAGGGCCGGCCATGGCGAGGACGTCGGCCAGGTCGGGCTCGCCCGCAGCAGCTGGCCGCGCCGGGCAGAGCCACCTACCACCAAGCAAGGTGAAACCAAGAGCGCGCTGAAGCGCAACGCTGAGCAGCGTCCACCAGCGCCGACGCCAGCCCGCAGCAGCCGGTCAGCGCACAGCCGGGGGCGCGCGGCCGGTACACAATGCGTGCTTGGGGGCGACCGTTGCGCCGCAGCGCGGGAGGTGTTCGCAACCCATTGCTGCGGGACACCCCGGCCCTCAAGCCCCAGGCGCGCGCGACCCGCACCCAAGCCTGCTCGGCGCGCGAGGAGGCCGCTGCGTGAGCAGGCTGCGGCGCGGTCGCCGAGCGCGTCCAGCGCAGCGCCACAACCCGGAAAACCATCCCCCCCGCATCTCCGGTGAGCAAGGGGGAACAGACTGGATTTTGTTCCTTGCCTTTTTCCGTCTCCCCGTCCACTGCTCACCCCGCGGAAACGCCTCTTTAATGGGTGCCACCGGGCACTGGAGGACTTAGGCTGTTGTTGTGGAGGCCAGCCTCCCCACATGCAGCGCTGTTGCTGACCCGGTCAGCGTCTGGGCACAGGCAGCCGACTGCACTCGAGCGCTTCGGAGTGCCGGAAGTCAGCAAGGATGTCGCTGAAATCTGGCACGGGCCCGTCAAAGATTGTGTGTGTGCGCCGGCTCCGGGCAGGGCAAGAAGGCTGGTGGCATACGCCCGCGCGGCGGCAAAAGAAATGAGGGCCGACCAACGGGCGCGGTATGCTGCGGCACAAGAGGCTTGCATGTCATCTGGCACAGAGCGGGCGCGGGCCCGGGCCTGACAAACTGTGCGGCCTCAGCGCTCCAGCGGCCACCAACTTCAAGTCCGACAACGACAAGGCGGCAGCGATGAGACGAAAGGATCTCACGGTAAGTCCTCTCCTTGGCTCGCCGAGCAAGACGGAGCGCGGAGCGCGGCTCCCTACTGGATTCGAAGCACGGCCGGCAGCAGCTCAGTCTGCGGGAGCGCGCGCGAACAGTTGCTAGCCACGAGGCCAGTCACCGGGGTCGCCGTCTGCATCGGTCGGGGGCGCGGCATGGGCCAACAACAGGTCAGGCCATGACGGGCGCTCCGACAAAGAAATGAGGGCCGACCACCGCGCGCGGAACGCCATGCGGGGCAAGAGGCTTGCAAGTCGGCCTCAGCGCTCCAGCACTTCAAGTCCCGTTAAGTCCTCTCATTGGCTCGCCGAGCAACACGAAGCTGAACGCCCCAAAGAGGAAGGCCATTGGCGATAACCTCGATGCTGTCATTTTAAAGCTGTTAATATGCACGTTCAAGTCTCGAAGGAGCGTGTGGTTCACGGCAGACCCTGGCGGTGGCGCGCTCAAGGCAGACCCATCCCCCCGCTGAATGCGGTAGAATGCGCGCACGAACGGCAAGAGCGCTGGCGCTACGTCGCCGAGCTTTGCAACAAAGGCAGCGCGTGACACCAAGTCGTAAGCGCTGCGCCCGTCCAGCGACACTATCGCGGCGGCAGGATCCAGCTCAACGGCCAGGGGGGCAAGGAGGCCAGGCAGCACACGAAGCGGTGAGCCGGCGTGCGAGCTCAAGGACGAAGCTGTCGTCAACAGCACGTGAGGCGGCACGTTGCCATCCCCTAATCCAGTCTTCCGAGTCAAGGACATCAGGCGGGCCCTCCCTGGCACGGCGGCGGGTCGAACCCAACATCATGGAGGCGTCGGCGAGCATCGCAGAGAGCACGCGCCGAAGCGGAGTCGGGCTGAGGCGACTCAAACTGAGGCAGGAGAGTGGCGAACACGGCGGGTGCCCGGATTGCGAGGGAAGGCAAACTATCCGCCCAAGATGCCCCAAAACGCGGCAGGGGCGTGCTGCACAGCGGCGAAAAGCAAGCTCGGCAGCGCTGGCAGCCGAGTTGGGCAGAAGGTCCACTGTTCAAACTGCAGGACTCAGCTGCAAAGGCCCGCGTCTGCTCAGGGGCAGGACGCGTGGGCACGGGCAGAAGCGCAGTAAAGGAGCAACAACCAAGCGGCCTGGAGGTCCGGCAGGCCGGGGGGGGCTGGGCGAGAAAGGCTGCATGGTCCGCGCTGAGGGCGGCGATTGCGCCAGCCGCGTTCCAAACACGGGCCTAGCCGGATGCGGGTGTGAGCATACAGGTGGTGCTCCAGGCGAGGAAGGAGATGAATGACCCGATCCGGCGAAGGCCGACACACGTTCGCGATCGCGATCAAAGGGGCAGCTCACGGTCGAAGGCACAAAGGGCAAGGTGAAGCCCCAAAGCGAAGAGCGCGGGCATCAAGGGTTTTCTTGTTTCCCTCGTCGATGCGGTGCACCCGGCACCGGGCATAGAGAAAACGGGAGGTCCGACCATCGAACAAGCGGACGAAAGGCAGCAAGGTGTTGGCCGCAGGCGCCGCGAAGAGCCCTCTGCATGGCATTGCGGCTGATGAGATCAAACGCCCCGACGCCATCAACCGACAGGGTCAGGTTGGGGTCCGAGTCAGTGGATGCCTGCAAATTGTGTGCGAGGGCCTCGGTGCCCACCCGAGTCGACAGAGCAAACGCCGCCACATGCTGCGAGCGTGCGAGCAAAAAGCAAGCACAGGATCTTGGCGGTGCCCGCTGGGGCCGGGCCACGGCGGGCCTGGCGGAGGTTGGAGCGGAGCAAAAACGGTGCCCTGTCCTTGGCCCCCCTACCCTGGTCGCCAGACCTAGGTAGGGCCACTACCTCGGTTTCCGATGGATGTCCACGGAATCGTCCGTCTCTGCAATGTGGGCCTCCAAAGGTCAAGCGAAAAACCGTGCCTTTTCAAGCAGCGCTCACACGTGCCGTAGGCCCACGGCTCCGCCACATAGTCCACTGGCATGAAGGACGATTTGGCAAAGTTGCAGAAGCCACTAGCAGCCATCGTGGTGGGCAAGGAAATTCCTTGGCATGTCCAGGCAGCTCTGGGCACATCGGGTTACGTCACGGTGGAAAACCTGGCAGGTCGCCGGAACAACCCTGCGGTGTTTCCAGGATGGGGAACATGGATTCGACGCCCGAACATCGGAGTTCACAACCATGCGCCTTCTACAGGCAGTCTGGGCAGCGGCGGCAACCAAGGAGACCAACTGGCCACCGGTAAAAGCGCCCCTGTGCGACAGACGCCAGCTGGAGGACGCCTGCGTGGCCACATGGCTCCGAAACCAAGGCTGGAGCTTCAGGGCAGCGACAGCTACCTCAAGAAGCCATGGCGGCTGATTGCAAAAGGAGAATTGGGCTACATTCCGGCCAAACACATTGTAAGCCCACTTCCCGAGGATCCACACACAAGGGGATCACGGTGCACGGCTGGGATCGGTAGGATGGGGACCCCGTGCCGCAGTTCGGCAACCTGAAGGACACCAAAGAAGAGTTGGATGACTGGCATGCTTGGTTCTACGGGGAAGACCTTGCAAGTAGAAAGCCTCCCCCGAAACGCATGGCGCAAGATATATGAGATAGTGCATCAGGGCACCAATCTCTCCGAGGCCTCAAAACCATCAGAGGGACTTTCTCTTCTGGCAGAGGGAGGTTTATGAACATCAACCGAGCAAGAGCAAGACCCCAAGGTGTGGAGAAGGGTCATGGTCATCGGTCCGCGCATTCCAAGCTGAAAGGGAAGGCTCCCAACCGCTCCCTGCTCCAATGGCCTGACCACTGGGCTTGGAAGAATCTGAAAGGGCTGGCCTACTGCAAGGACCACCACCTCCACGGCAGGCGCCCAGACTCGCGCTGACGATCCCACAACTGCGCCCCCCGTCCTCACCAAACAGCATTGCACTGAAACATCTTTGCAACGCAGCATCGTGCCCGCTAATACCAGCAGTGTTCGCACTCGCCATGCATCAAGCGCTTGTCGCCCTACAGCGGGAGCTCCGCCCGGAGGAGCGTCCCCTTACCTTTGTGGATGACTTGCACTTGACGGCGCAGCCTGATAGCATACAGCCGATGTTTTTTGGTGTTCTTTTTTCAACGCGCCTTTTTAAGTCTGTCCCAAAACCCCCCCATTAAGGATGCCTCCGGGCACAGGAGGGCTTGAGGGGCGCGCCCCTCAGCAGGGTGCTGTAGGGGCCCCGTCCACATTGCAGAGGCCGGGCCCGGCCGTCTGGCACAAGAGCAAGGCTGAGTGCGCCAAGAGAGCGGACCACCGGGCAACCAAGGAGCAAGTCACACTGGCCCGGAGCCGCGCCGGCGCTTCCTCGCTCCACCGCCCTCCAACCTCCACAGCGAGGACAACCAAGCGGCAGCGATCTGACCGCAAAAACTCTGGGTATGCTCTTTCCTTGCGGCGGCGCGCCAAAGCGAGCGTTGAGCCTGCGTACCGTCCGCCGAGCCGGTTGGGCACTCCCTGGCTGGCCAGACAAGGGCGACTTGTGCAGCACTAGACGAGCCCCAAAAGAGCACTTTAGGAGCTCCAGAGAATCACTGCAGGAGTGCTATAGGGGCATTAGAAGAGCACTTAAAAAACACT